ACATGACAACTGACGAGGCAGGGGAAATGTAAACAGAACACACTGACAGAGCCCTTCAAAGTAAAACAGGAAACACATACACATAATGACACAGACTCAGAGACGCAGACAAAACACAGAGACCTACTACACTAAGGGAATGCACAAGCAGGGATGACACCAAACAGAGGGAACACCACTAAACCCTAGAAAATACAAAACTATCAAAAATAAAAGTACATAACCAAAAACACTGGGTCACCGACCCAGGACCATGACAAGTTATCAGATGTTTCAGTTTTAAATAACTTTTATCAGCACATACTTGTCACAGAAAAACTATTTACATTATTTCTTAAAGAGGGTCAGCTTTGCTTTTTTCAATATATAGGGTTAGAGTATGGTTATGGTTTAAAAGAAAAGTGACACAAAGACCCATCTCCTGCTTTGTTGATGTACTAAAACATACAGAGTAAGAAAAAATATCACTTATATGCTTCTCTTACTTAATTTCCACCCCACTTTCTAATTAATTTGCCCTTTTTATCCCTTTTCTAAGGCATTAGTGGTGTCCAATGACACTCGTAAGGAGTCTACAGTAGGGGAAATGGTGAACCTGATGTCAGCAGATGCCCAGCGCTTCAATGATGTGACCAACTTTATCCACCTGCTGTGGTCCTGCCCTCTGCAGATCATCATATCCATTGTTTTCCTGTGGCTGGAGTTAGGACCTTCTGTGTTGGCAGGACTGGGAGTCATGGTGTTAATAATTCCAACCAATGCACTGCTAGCAACCAAGGCCAGAAAACTACAGGTCAGGGGAAATACTTGCCAAATCTTCTTTGCTTCTGTAAACCTCTGTGCGAGATTCTAAATCAAGATAATTCAAGATGAGATTAAACTGCAAATTTTAAAGTTTTATTCAAGATGTTTAGTATTGCATTGACTGTCTAATAGATTTTGATACAGTCCCCCTCAAAAGTAGTTGGACAATTGAGTGACATAGCATGCAGGCTCAGCTACGTGTCTCACAGTCAACATACAGATTTGCTCTCATAGACCAGTCTCCCTTCTATAAACAGACCAAACATTTCTTTGGAGTTTAATTAATATTAACATTAATGTGAAGAAAGTGATCTAACTGTAACTTTCAACATGCGATTCTTGCTGGTGAAAAAGTTGTTTGTTTGTTTTTTCAAATGAATTACACAGAATAAATTGCTGTTCAAAACACTTTATTTAAGTATTGTCTTATTGCCTGTTTAACATGAGCTACATTGTGTCTCTTTTCAGATAGAGAACATGAACTTTAAAGATAAGAGAATGAAAATCATGAATGAAATTCTAAATGGGATAAAGGTGAGCTCCCTTATTCAGTGTATTCATGGTGTATGTAGATGCCTTCCTTAGATGTAAGACATTGATGCTTCAAGAAACTGCAGTAACTTTGACCATAAGTGCTTCCTTCTGCCTCACTGCCTCCTCCCTGTCTTTTTCTTTTGTCTCCCACCAGATTCTGAAGCTGTATGCTTGGGAGCCATCCTTCCAGAAGCAGGTGGAAGACATTAGAGGGGAAGAACTAAAAGTCATGAAGAAGTTTGCCTACCTACACTCCTTCTCCATTCTTACCTCATGCTGCAGTCCAGCTCTGGTGAGTTCTGTCAGAGAGCTTCGCAGAGATTAGAATCAAATGGTAAACAACCTTTTTTCTTAAACTGTCTGTACTTGCAGGTTTCTCTGGCCACGTTTGCAGTATTTGTTAGTGTGAGCAATGATAATGTGTTAACTGCTGAGAAAGCTTTTACTTCCATCTCTCTCTTCAACATCCTCCGAGCTCCTCTTGCCATGCTGCCCACGCTCATTGCTTCCATTGTACAAGTAAGTGAACAGAGCTACATCACGCACATGTATCAAGCCTGTGATGAAATCAAACTTAACCTGTTCTTTGAATTTTCAGACAGCAGTGTCTAAGAAGCGCCTGGAGAAGTTTCTGGCAGGGGAAGACATCGACAGTGACATTGTGCGCCAAGACCCCAGTTTCAGTATGTTCACCATTAGAATTTGCACTTTTCTACAGCTGAAGATTGAAGCTTAGTCACAGTTTTTATGTGTGCGGTTCATCTGTTAAGCTCTGTCTTGGTCTGTGTTCATTTTTTAGATACTGCTGTGAGCATATGTGATGGTTCCTTTGCTTGGGAAAAAGAT